CACCTGATCGACAAACACCCGGCGTTCACCATGAAGACCATCCTCGATGTGCGACGCCGAGATAGTGGTTTTCAATATCTAGTCGATTGAAAGAGTTACGGTCCTGAAGAGAGGTCCTGGATCCCCTGCTCTTTTATTCTGGACCCCAGCCTCATCACCTCCATCTTCAAGGCCCACACCGAGAAGCGCCTCAGGTCGCCTGGGGGCAATTCTTGAAGGGGGGGTACTACCACTGACTGATTCACTGGTTCTCCTGGATCCTGCCTTGTTCCTTCCTGGTCCCGTCTTGGTTCGCCTCGTGCCTTGCCTTCCACCAATTGCCTGCCTTCTCAGTCTTGCCCGACAACACTGTCTTCTCATCCCTGGAGCTCTCCCCTTGGATCTGGATCCATGCCCTCACACCTCATCCAACCTGTAAGAAAAGACACTCATCAAAATATTATCTCACCCAATCCACTCTATCGAACTCTCCTGATCATCTCCTTCTTCCCCAGGAGCTCCAGAAGAGCAACTGTACATTTTCTCACTGTAAATAACAAACACTGTTACCTTTGTAGTCCCCAAGTCTTGTCTCGTTCCGGGTCTCGTACCACTCTAGGTTCCCGAGTCATAACAGTATTTTCCTTTTGAGGCTGGAGTTTTAACTACTTAACTATCAAAGACTTTTGGCATAGGTAAACCTTGTATAACATATTCTATCATACAATTTTTTAAATCATAACTTTAAAAAATATAACACTACTTCACAACATTATCACACTGTGCTCTATATTTTGGGTAAAAATTTAGTTTATGTTGCCTTGGTCCTGCATAGAGTGAATCAAATAGATGTCAAAAACACTCACAATATGACAAAATGCATTTGATCTTTAAAAAGAAACAAATATAATTCACAACTGTTTGCTTTACTGGGCGGCTGTGGCTGAGTGGTTAGAGCAGTCGTCCTCCAATGCAAAAGTTGGGGGTTTGAATCCACCAGCAGTCACATGCCGAAGTGTCCCTGGGCAAGACACTGAACCCCTCATTGCCTCTGATGTGTGTTCCATCAGTGTATGAATGTGATAAAGCTCTGATTAGTCTCTTTAGAATGATTTGTTCCATTATCTTTGTAGAGATCTAGTAGAGTGCTGTATGAATGGGTAAATGAGGCACAGACTGTAAAGTGCTTTTAGTATATCGGCAAGATAGAAAGGCGCTATATAAGTGCAGTCTATTTACCATTTACCATTTATGTTCTTGCTTCAAATTTCAATGACTATTTTATTTCTCATTAAAAAAATTATAAGCCTTACACTTTCCGTTATATATGACAAAACCATATACAGAATTTATTTATTATATCCATTTCTTTTTCACAGATCTGACCCTCTCCCATGAAGAAAACATATAATTTGCCACATCATAATAATATAGACTGATCAACATTACCTGCATGAACTTATTAAAATATAAAAATATTTCATGCACTTTTCATTTTTATGGCACATCTGAGTGAGCAAGACAAAGTCTGAGAAAATGTATGTATTTTAGCTTTTTGTCTAAACTTACAAGACCACAACTTCATTTTAAATAAGCAGTGCTACACTGCAAACCTGCAACATCCAAGTTAAGTTTAGCACACATTGTAAGACAAAACTGTGTTCTCTGGTTCTTACTGGCGACCTGTCCAGGGTGTGTCGTGCCTCTTGCCCAGTGACCCCTGCCAAATGTCACCATCTCCCTGTGAAATGTTACTTTGTACAACCAGAAAACAACACACTCTCTCTAACATCTTATCCAAAGTAATTTTAAGTGGAGGAACAATTTGACAGGAAATGTTTAGGTTTTGACTTTGAAACTGTTTTACATCACAGTATAACTTCAAACCTGGGGACACCCTTGACTGGTCTCCTGTCTATCTCAGTGACACATAGAGACAAACAAGCCTGACCTTGCTGTGAGACAACAGCTCTAAAAACTGCATTTGTTAGAACAGTAAGCTTTAGTAATAGTTGCATGTATATTCTGAATTAAAAGTAAATTAATCATGGGATACATTTTTATATTTAAACTAATCTTGTGATGCCTTACAAAGAAATCTAACAAGGTTGAGTCAGGTACTCTGAACAAATTCTTCCAAAATTATCCAGAAACTTCTTCAGTCTGAGGAGCTGCAACAAACTCATAAACAAACGATGAAAGATGAAACGTTTCAACAGAAGAATCGTCCAGAGGACCTTGTTAGATTCATCTGCCTGGATTATTGAGCATACATCGGGACATTTACAAAGAAATGTGATAATACTACCAGATCACTTGTGTCTGCTGTAAACCCAACCTTACTTTGCTTTAAAAAGAATATGACAGCACAACTTAGATTTGCAACTGTTTCTAAATAAACCATACAACCTCTGGAAAATGTTCTTTGTACAGACATTATCAAAAAGGAAATTTAATCCCTCAGTAACGTCTGTGCAAAAACTTTTGACCAACTCCGAAGCACAGTGGTGGACGGGTGATGCTTGGAGACTTTATCTGCCACAGGACCTGAGCACCTTGGAATCACTGAGTTGACCATAAACTCCTCTGTGGACCAGAGTCAAAAATGAGACCATCCATCAGACAGCTGAAGCTTGAACCAAACGGGGTCATGATGCAACAGAACAATGCTCTCAAGCACAGCAGCAAATCTACAACAGAACAGCTGAAAAGGAAAGTATCAGTTTGTTTCAATGGTCCAGTTTCTCAACTGATTTTTTAAAAACAAATTCAGTCTATTGTAAAAACTGAAACATTTCTTAATACCTTCTGAAATTAAATGCACTTTACAACAATTATAGTTTCATGATTTTTTTTTACATATGGTTCTGGTTTATATCAGCTTTCATGGCTGTAGCTCCAATACTCAGCAATGATCTCTGCAAGAGAAACTAAAAGATAGTTATTTTTTCTCTCAGATGTTGTTCTGTTTGTGTGCATATTTTAAAGAGACATTGGAGATGATTTGGCTGCAGTTTGGCAGACCCTCTGGGCCAGTTAGTCGGAGGAGATCACATGAGGGTGGTGATCTGAAACTAGGATTTCTGCGACACACCAGTCAAATAAATAAATGAACAAACATTCTCTACTCTTACAGAATTATTAGTTTGTGTTTTAGACCAACTAGGTGGAGTTTTTAGCTCAAAGCCCTTTAGTATCCTTTAAGAGCTCTCCAGTTGTAATGTTAAAAATCTTGGTGTTATTTTTGATCAGGACATGTCTTTTATCCCCCACATTAAAAACGTTACTAGAACCTCCTTCTTCCACCTGCGTAATATCACTAACATTAGAAACATCTGATCTAAAGATGATGCAGAAAAACTGGTCCATGCATTTGTCACGTCTAGACTGGACTATTGCAATGGTTTATTATCTGGGTGTCCAAATACTTCTTTAAAACGTCTTCAGTTGATCCAAAATGCTGCTGCCAGAGTCTTAACTGGAGTTACTGGGAGAGATCATATCTCTCCAGTTTAGCTTCTCTCCATTGGCTCCCTGTCAAATCCAGAATAGAATTCAAAATCTTACTTCTAACCTACAAAGCTCTCAACAACCTAGCTCCATCTTATATTACAGATCTTATTGTTCCATATTTTCCTAACAGAGCACTTCACTCTCAGACTGCAGGTTTACTTGTGGTTCTTAGAGTTTCCAGCAGCAGAATGGGAGGAAGATCTTCCAGTTATCAGGCTCCTCTCTTGTGGAACCAACTTCCAGTTTCTGTCCGTGAGGCTGACACATTATCCAGTTTGAAGACTGGGATTAAGACTTTCCTTTTTGATAAATCTTATAGTTAGGATTGGCTTGTTATGCTGCTATAGGCTTAGACTACTGGAGGACAAATTGACCTCATTTCCTTAAATGAATTGTAATTGTATCATTTTAAAAGAGATTGATGATCTCAATGGATTTCTTCCTGGTAAAAAAAAAAAAAAAGAGAGAATAGTTTTCATTTGATACTATTTCTATCTTAACATGTGATTCTTGACCTGCCATTGTTTATCTGTTACTACCAAACCCAGCTGGTTGAAGCAGATGGTCCTCTTGTCCTGATCCTGGTTCTGATAAAGGTTTCTTCCTCATGAGGGAGTTTTTCTTTCCACTGTCGCCTTCATGCTTGTTCAAGATGAGAGTTCTGTGAAGGAGTTAAACTCAAAGCTGCTCCTCAGATAAATAATAATGTTAACTACAACAGTTGTTAAATCACATCACCTGGACCAGTTTCTTTAAGTGAGAAATGTTTCGTCCCCCATCCAAAGGACTTCCTCAGTCTACGTCCGGCCAACCAGATCTGTCCCATAGGTAGTAGCCTTCACTGCTGTGTTTCAAGCCAACCTCCTGTTGGAATCTCAAAAGTCGGCTTTTAACATGTGCAAAACAATCAATCATCATGTACAGCAATGAAATGTTTTAGGTCAGATGGCCAACTTGCTACTCACAACAGCCTGAGGACACCAAGGCCAAAGTGGTTCAGGAAAAGGATTGTAAGCTCAATCATCCAGGTAGATAACAACAAAACAGCTTGTTTGGGTGGATGGATGGAACTACAGTGCACATGTAGGTTTCTAATAGCTACATCAATAGACTGATCGTGTAGAAAATGGGTTTCCAGCAACAGAAGGAAAGGCAAAGATATGATGTGAATGTGGCTGCATGTTTGAGAATGATAAACAGGAAAACCCAGGATAAAGAAAGGAGTGACTTGAATAACAAGAAGACGTTTAATAATGTATGAGATGAAAATAGCTGGATGAATAAACTATGCTACACTGAGGAATGCAGGTCCTGTTTCAGTGTCACAGCATCTATGTGTCAAAGTGTGTGTGGACAATACCAAACAAAAAAACACAGGCATGTAGTTAGGGAACAAAACAAAGGCAAAGACGTATCCTCTGTTCCACCCAGCCTGAACAGGGAGGGGTGATGATCTGTACAACACAAGTGAGTATCACAGCGAATAAATGTTACAAATCTGGACTCACCATGTCTGTGTCTGAAACTGGTCCAAAGCTGGTGACGAAGATGTTTGTCTTCACCTGAGTTACCCTGTCTGGACCAAAGAAAGCCATTTGAGTCATCAGGTCGCAGTGAAGGAATGAATACGAATGCAACAACGTCTACCATTCTTTTTTAAGCAGCAGTTATTCATCGTTAACAATATTTAGTAACTCCGCTCGGACATTTTCTTCTTTCGGCTGCTCCCCTTTTCAGGGGTCACCACAGTGAACGAACTCACGAGAAAACTTGGCAATTATTTTTACACTGGATGTCCTTCCTGACCAACCACAGACACTGAGCTGCCACAGCCTCTGTGTGGAGCAGAGAGCTGCTGTCTAGGGTGCCCGGGGAACTACATGGTGGGGTTAAAAGCCTTGCTCAAGGGCCCAGAGTGGGGCAAATGAGGGTGGAGACAGGTGTGCGTGCTTCACATATCCCACCCACATTTTGATGTTGTCGTACCGGGAGTTGAACCAGCGATCTTCCGATCACAGGCCCACCATCTCTAACCTCTGCGCCACCACCCCCATATCTTGGAACTACTGAAAATTATTAAAACCCTATAGGCTACATAAGGAATTTAACTAGTAACTGTGATTATGTTGTAAATATTTAAAGTTCAAGTCAACTTTATTGTCATTCACATCACATGTAGTACATGAGGTGGAATGAAATTATGTACACAGGGTCCCAGTTACACCCAGAAATAGCAAAATATAAAAAGAAACAGTGAATGAGGATCTAACATATATGCTAAACACTAATAATGTAAAACAATACGGTGTAACAACAGCAGCCAGAAAATGAATCTGTAGTGAGCAGATGGGTATGAATGAATACAACAGTATGAGATCATCAGCAGCATGAAATCAGCAGCATGGATAATCAGCAGCACAGATAAGTCTCATATCTGAGATGAGTTTGTGTTTTCTGTTTCCTGCACCTCTGTGTTTTTTCCCTCCTCATCCTCATGTTGCACAGCGCTCACTCTCCAACCCTTCCAAGGTGTCCTTGGTCTGGTCTCCTTTTTCCTCTTGAGTAAGTGTTTTGCTGCCCCGCCAGCACTTTAATTTTGCTCAATACATTATTGTTTATTTTTCTACTCCTGCCTCCTCATGCCTCGGCCTGCACTTGGGTTCGACACCCAACTCCAGACTGTAACAATATCACCAATTAAATTTGCATTACAGTTATTCTTTCTTTCTTTTTTTTATTTTTTCAGTGATTCTTCTGGTTAGAGATTCACGAGTCTAACAGCCTCAGGGTAGAAGCTGTTCCTCAGTCTAGTGGTTCTATACTTAATGCTCCTCAACCTCCTTCCTGAGGGGAGTGGGGCAAAAAGTGTGTGTGCTGGGTGAGTGGGGTCCTTCATGATGCAGGTGGCTCTCTTCCTGCATCTGGAGGTGTAGATGTCTGTGATGGTGGGGAGGCTGACTCCAACATCTTCTGTGCAGCCTTCACCACTCTCTGCAGAGCTTTTCTTTCTGCAGCTGTGCAGCCTCCATGCCACACGTTGATACTGGAGCACAGGATGCTCTCCACTGCACACCTGTAGAAGAACGGAACAGACACCAGAAGCAGTTGTTGCAGAGACTGAGCTGGGCAGTTGCTGAAAGCTTGTTGTGAAGGAGTTGCAGAGATCAACTCTCTGGAGAAGCAGCCATGATGGAAGAAGTGGGTCCTGGTGAAGAGTTGGTTCTGAGCCAGCCCAGAAGTCCTTAATGCTCAAACACTCAGGAGTGAGATGGTGCTAGATGGTGCCGAACGAATCGCAGTCCTGAGAAATGACATCCTTTCTTGGGACATCAGACCACCGGCTCTCCCCGCATCCGCTGTGGTAATGAGAAAACGGGCGTCTCCCCGGTAGAATAAAACATCTTCCTTCAGATGACGAAACAAGTGCCAACTGAGTTTGTTTAGACATAATTTAGTTCATGAATCTGAGATACAGCTTAGCTAAATTTTAACGTTACAGCTAAAACCCTTAGTCCAAATTGAATCTACATCCCTTCTCAAAGTCTCAATTATTTACATAATTCACTTTCTGAAATAATACTATTGGTTATTCATTCATATTTCATATTTGCCATAATTTCACATTGTTATTCAAAATGACAATAAACATTACAGAATTGTGTATTTAAATTACCAGATTATTTGCCTTTTTTCAAGAGAGGGGAATTACATTTGTTACAAGAACTCACTTATATGTTTTGGGGTTGAGGCCGGTCAACATTTATTATACACCTGCTAAAAGGTGTTCAGACCAAGCCTTCCCCAAAACATTATTTTACTGGTGGTTTTATTATTTGATGGTGTCAGGTCTTTGCTGTAAATGAGTCCCAGAGGGTCATTGGGATTAACCTGTATAAATAAAGGTTGAATGAAAGAAGGAAACCAGCTCGTCTCAGCCGTCTGAGGTCTCTGATGATCTTTCTTCATCAGGCTGGTGGTGTTGTTGCTCCTGTAGATGAACATATGCATGAGATATATTCATCAATTAAACGGATTCTTTCATTTTTCTGGACTGTATATAATGTGCATTGAATTTAGAAACGTAACGTGAGACGTTAATTATCTTTGACCCATCAAAATGAATGCGGTCATTTAATAACAGAATCAAAGTTTAACACATCACACATTTACATTAATTGGCAAAAAATGGAAAATAATAACATGGCTAGTTTAACAAACTGTACAAGTTGATTATCCACACGGCGGTGGATGAGAACTTTACACAGACATTTCTAAAATATCTGGAATGATTTCTACTTGATAGAAGAATTTTAAAGATGAAAGATGAAGTTTAAAGGGAGAAAAAGATGGGTGAGGGGGTTTGTTTGTGTCAGCATTCAGGACGGCACTCTCCGGTCTTTTCTCAACTTCTTCCCGGTACGCTTAGGTGTTATAAATCAACTTTTTACCTGGAGATGTCCCCACCGGTACGAAAGTCCATTCAACGCACCCTTTCAGCGTCTCCGTAGGAACAGCTGTGAATCGTCCGAAGTAGTGACGGTGCTTGTTCGACACAAGTTCACCTCACAAGTGGACTTTCACATGAGTGGAGTCCGTCAGTGTTTCCCCAGAGGTGGAAAATGTTATAATCCCATAAGACTCGGAAGAGCTCTGTGGTCATGTCAGGATTTTCCTGTTTCCCAGCACGGGAGCTACAACGACTCCAACTCGACTCTTCTCGAAACTCTCCGACACTCTCGACACTCTCCGGACACTGGTTTGAACTAGGAAGTACCGACATTTTAAAGAGCTCTATTTCCGGTTCATCTGGGAGTCTGATTGGTCAATGTCGACCAGACAGGGGTGTGTTTTGTGACGTAAGAGGTCACAAGAAGTCAGAAAACAGCAAGAATGTTATGGAACAGATTGAAAATGTTTTTAGACAGACAAGAGGGATATTTGGACGAGTTGGCGGAAAAACAGGTGCCAGCTTCTCTATTTACGTCTGAGAGGATGTAAAAACAAGATAGTTCGTTCCAACACTTGTCTGCGTTTGAGTCCAACCTTGGACCAAACTTACACTGCTCATTCAAAGACAGAAAATCAGAAAATGCATAATTACTCTGTAACAGGCCTTAACATGAATTCTAACTTTGCATGAGGATTAAAAATCATTGTTACTGTTTTCACAGTTAATTAAAAATGATTAGTTCACTGCAACATCTAAAATGGTTTGAACTAAACACTTTGATTATCAACATTCGTAAAATAGTAATGATGATAAAAAGAGTGTTCTTTCACTTGAATTTTCAAGAAAGAAAGTCTCAGGATGGGTCAACCTGTATTTCTGGATGCAAATCAATGAAATAACAAGTTTTGTCCCATATGGTGCCTAAGGTCAAGGTTTTGACCTTCAGGCCTATATCACTACAGTCCCCCCTTTGGAAATCATCGCCTGTCCAATGGGGATGAATTCCAACATGAACTTACGCCTTCGAATGTCCTTGGTCTTGATGTAATCCAGCAAGGAAACAAGAGTCAAGAGTAATCCAGCAAGGAAAACAAAAGTCAAAAGTAATCCAGCAAGGAAAACAAAGTCAAGGTAATTCCACAATGTTCTTGGTAATTCCATTGTGTTGATGATAATTCCATAATGTTGTTGGTAATTCCATTGTAGCAATGCTTTAACCCCTTGGAAACAGAGTCTGTAATCCATTGGAAAAAGTCATATAATCCACAACGGTAAATCCACAACGATTGGAAGTGTTGATTAATCAGCATACAGAGGGGTTCCCCTGGATTGAACTGAAGATGCGGCCCCTGGATGAAGTGTGGAGACCAACGTCAGGATTGCAGGTCTCCTCCAGCGAAGGTCGTCTCTGGGCGACGTCCAGTCTGTGCCGTTCTGGTTCAAATGTGACATGCAATTATGTGGTTTAAGGTGGGCTTATGAAGGGGATTTTACATAAGGCCTTAAACTATATGCACCTGGTGTGTAAGCTATTATGGTTGTGAACAGCTACAACTACCAGTTAAGGGGTGGAACATGCTGAAAAGGGTAACTATAGGGGTTTATACCTATAGAAAAGTATTCCATACTATTTTTCCATTTCTAACTTGGTTTAAGTTAGCTTTACATGGCAAAATATAGTTTGGTTCAATTGTCTGTTGTCTTTTAGACGAACGACTTGAGATTGGGTATTTGGTTTCCCCATAAATGTTTTGGAAGTCTATGGCGAGACTCATCAAAAAGAATTAGCTATCCCCCCGAATAGGATTGTTCGAGTAGGTTCGGCTTACGCGTTGTGAGATCAATGTAGATTATGGTACTTAAGGTAGCAATAATATACATTGACTCCGCAAAGATTGCAATTTAATGAATGAACTGCATGTTGGCATAGTTAAAACCCTTTACAGTTTCCAACTAAAACTTACACACAAAATTCATTCTTACCTCAGAAACAACCAAAACCAATTCAACAACGTTTCAACACCGACAAGAGTAGTGACTAAGCAACTAGAAACATCGTTTCACTGCTTCTTCTCACCCTGGCTGTCAGATTCAGTCACGCTGTCCCGTTTGTTTGTTTCTTTGCA